TTTTACGGCGCTCGCAATTGCATGGGGTCATATTATGATGTATAGTATGTATAGTATAAGGTTTTACGGCGCTCGCAACTGCTAAGGTTATATGAGCGCGCGAAACACAAGTTGTTCACTTTTGCAAAAGTTCACTTCACGACTAGTTAACTAATTAACTTTAAAATGCAAAAAAATTAAAATATTTAAATTCGGTGTAAATACATTTGTGATTTAAAACAACTCGGGGTCATATGAGCGCGCGGGACACACCAAACATTTTCAGATGGAAAGAAATTTTGAATTTTGATTGGGTGGCGGCTGAATTCTGCTCTTATCGATTTTAGACCATAAAGAGATCTTTAATAACGTGCGCAACTTGCACCACGGGACCTCCGAGATTTTTCACCCTTGTCCGAGACGGCTAGGTGTAGATCTTTCCTACCAGAATATCAGGGGTGTGGCTGAAAGACAGCAGTAAAAAGGAGAATAGGAGTAGCAGAAGAAAGGCTGCAGAAAGAGTCAGGAGCCCAGAGAAGAAGGCAAAGGGGATAAAGCGGTCGGGGCAGAAAGTGGAGATAAAAGCAGACGACTGAACATTGCTAGAGCAGGTCTAGTTGAGGAGGTATCCCTTCTTAAAATAAATTATGTCATTCGCCATTTCCCTACCTCAGAATTACAATGTTCTATCTGCTCAGTACCTAGTTTTGAGAAACTTGGCGCCAAAAATGTTTATTTTTAACAAAATGTCAAGCTTCTTTTCTTTTATTTCAGTTACTTGAATAACTTGAAAACGACTCAGAACAAATCTTAGGTTTTTGAAAGGGCAAATAAAACATTTGGTTTCTGACCTCATGGTCGTAGTAACTCAAAACGGCCAAAAATTGCCAGATAAAACTTGGTGATTTTGAGGTAGCGATTTGTGCGTGACGTCCTGACCACCTTTATGCGGGCCCAATATGGTAACATTTAAGGACAAGCGGGCTAACCCAGACTTCGGGGGTTTCCAGAAATTTTGACCTACACCAAAATTTTGCATTGCCCTACCAATAGGAAAAGTCTGGTTTCATTGATGAGTATTTTTTTTGTTTGGTTATAGAGAAAACTCTCCTCGTCTTTTAAAGAAACTGAGCAAGGGGCAAAAACTATACCTTCGATTTTCTCAAAATAGCATTTTTCGGGATAGCCCCCTTGTACTTAAAAGCGACAATGTAGAGTGAGAGACCCCAGACTTGCGCTGTAGAACAAATAAGTTCCGAATGGAGACCTCAATGAGACTTTAACCCAGCCAGGCTTTTGTTTTCCGAACTCAAAGATTTTTCGAACAAGTCAGTGTTGCAACAGAACTTACAACGTTTCGCTCAATTCTTCCGTGAAAATACAGCCTGAGATGACCTATCGATCTTTCGATTGAAACAATCGCTTCCGAAATGTTTGTGTTGTTGAGATTATTCTAAACTGTGCTTGTTGCATAAACCACTGTGTGTAAAAGTATATGTGTGGGTGTGTTTGTATTGTGTATGTGTGTGTGTGTTTGTGTGCATTTGTGTGTATGCTTGTTTTTTTTGTGTGTATTCTAGAGCTCGTATGCTTGTTTTTGTGAGTGTGTATGTGTATGTGCTTGTGTGAGAGCGCACACATGTAGATTTTTAAGCGCACTGAGCTTGCTGTGGAGCGGTAATTATTTTGCGCTCTCAAAATGCCAAATTATATTATTCTTACTACATATTGTATTATATCATATACTTCATTCAGTCTTTGTGTAAGAAGTTGTCCAGCACCTGCCAAGACTTTGAGTTTACATGGTGTTATTTCATTTCTTTAAGTCGACCCATCTTCATGATTATAGGCTATGTACAGACTTCAACAAAAGTTAAGGACCACCTTGACAGACAGTGCTGATTTTTTTTTTATCCTAAAAAAAGACAGCAAGGAATGTTTCAATTTGTTTTTCTGTGAAAGTGTTAATGGGTTATCAATGCGTACTGCAAAGCCTCCTAAAGGACCGAAACCACTACATGCAGCACGGAAATCCTCGGGGAATTTTAACCAAACTTGCTGTTTTTTATCGACTTATGTGCGACACCACGGACATTCCTCAGTTAAAATTTCTGGTGCAGTCATAAACGGACGTACAGTCTCGAACTGTGCTCACTTTGGTGTCAATATAAGCCGCCGTTTGCTCAAAATCCAGTATCGCATCAACGTACCACCAAGACGAAAGCTGAAAGACTTTGATCGTGCCAGAGCTATGGCATGCCTGCAAGATGGAGTTGGAGCCCAACAAGCTGCCAGAAGGCTTGCAGTGTCACACTCTGTCATTGTCCGCCTGAGGCAGTGGCATCAAGCCACTGGATCAGTCCAAGAACGCCCACGTGCAGGTCGACCAAAGAAGACCACTCAGAGTGTTTGCAAGTGGTCATTAACTTATGTTGAAGTATGTATTGTTATATTTCGAGAAAAATCATATGTTGTCAGTGAGGGGGCTGAGTCAAGAAAATGGATGACCTGTACTTTTCCCTAAGAGAGATTCTTGCAATGATGTCATGAACACAACAGAAGTATACTCACTTTAAGCAGCTGAAAGGCCTTACGTATCACAACCAACATATAATGAAAACAAAGATACGAACAGCAGTCATATCTGCTGTTTCTTACCTCAGAACTCGTCGATCTTTCTGCCAGTCAGCGAAGGAAAGAGTTTACAAATACTGAATATTTATATTGAGTAAATGCTGAATATGTTGTGAAAGCGCTGAATACATTGTGTAAACGCTGAATGTATTGTGTAAAATTATGCATAATTGTGGTAACGGTGAATATATTGTGTATTTCCGACTCAGTTCGAATGTGCTTTGGTTGAGAAAGAAACAAAAAGTTTTCAAAGTAAATTTAGGATGACACTGAATTTGATAATTAATGTTCTTTTTCGATTCAACTCAAAGGGCTTCTTTCGGAAAAGATTTGGAACAAAAAGGGTTCATAATAAATTTGATAGGTGGAAGAAAGTACTGCAAGAAAAAAATCACCAGCGAAAGAAGGACTAAAGATATTCTTTTTTCGCTTAAATTGTTATCTTAAGAAAGAAGGAAAAAGGAAAAGAGGAAGACCTGAAGAGTACTCACGGGTCTGGCTGGAACTCCTGGGTCAGGTACATAGGAGTGAAAGTCTGGGGTCTTGCAGGAATGACGGGAAATCTGATGCTGTCCCAGTCCATCACCTGACCTTTGACATTATACACGGGGCGGAGCTTGGCTGGCATGTTAGTGGGTAAACAGGTCACTCCCGGGGTCAAGGTCAAGGTCAAGGGCTTTTTATCCCTTTATGTCAAGCTACAAAATACGGAGACGAGGAGGTGAATTAATAAGGTTTTAGTCGTTGATGTTTTACGACTTCATTGACACGAGTTAGGACATTTATTAGGAGGCGGGCTGCTACATTCTAGTCTGTCTCGACCAACCCAGACTGAGAATCGAACACTTCCCTCCTGCACCTCCAGTATCCCCTCCTCTCCCCCACTCCCCCTCCCCTTCTCCTCCCCCTCCCCCCTTCCTCCTTCTGTTTTTTTTTCATACATTTAATGAGACTGTCTAAGAGAAACGTCTGTCTAAGGTGACCACTTTTTCTCCTCGACAAGGGCGGTCGTTTAGGACAAGGTATAAAATTGTACCATGAAATAATAGGCCTGGATACCTGGAGGTGTCATCTCTGACACAGAGGTTGACATGTAATGACCTTCCATCTTTCACGGTCGCGAGTTTATATGTTGACATATCATTGACACTATTTAGGACATTTAGGAGAATGGCTGCTTTGAACTAGTCTGTCTCGGCCAACCCAGACTGAGAAACGAACACTTCCCTCCATCTTTCACGCTCGTAAGTTTATACGGTACCATGTTATTGGGAACCGAGCTCGTTTTTGGGTTTAGTAAGAGTTTTACGGCACTTGCAACACAAAAAGGTCATATAAGTGCTGAAGATTTGAGGTGTTACAAGAGAGTTACGAACGCAAAAAAAGAAGGTGGGGAAATAGAGACGATAGATTTTTTTATAGAAAAGAAGGAGCAAATCACACCAGAGCACCCGCCAACCATTCACGACCCCAGTGTCTATCCGTCTATGCAGCTGGTCTGTGTGGCATCAAATTAACCACCTGTACAATAACTCCGACAGGAATTACTATGTATGTGCACGGACGTACGCGCACACACACACACACACACACACACACACACACA